CGCACCCGCCACAAGGGGTTAGAACCCAGGATCCTCCGGTTACAAGTCAAGCTCGTATACCATTCAGCCACTGGGACCCGATTCAATGGTCGGTGCATGAATTCCAACTTCTACCAATTCGCGATTTAGCGCGACCGCAAACATTGTCGTAGGTGGGACATCCTTCCTCACATGTGACATATAGATGGACCTCACTGCCGATGATTCCCAGAAAACTAGGATGAAACAGCTGTCCAGTACTCCCTGGTTTTCAATGGTTCTCTAACTGATATCAATCTGTGATCAACTCGTAAAAACAAAACTAACCCTTACAAATCAAACTATAGATAATAAAGATATACTAATAACTGTTTCTGACAAGGATGCTGGTGTACTTTTGCACTTAAAAGACTAAATAGTCTGTCTGTCTGAGAAAATGAAGAATTTATTCTCAGACAAAAATAAGTTGTTTCAACCTCCCAACAAAAGAAACAAAGTAGAATTGATTGAAAAACAGTTTACGAATGTCTTGAAAAGACTCAAAACTGATCGGTTAATTAGCTGGCTTGGGACCAACAGGTTCAATAATACCAAGACTATATGGTTTCCCAAAGATATACAAAGTTGGTCTCCAACTCCGTCCAATTTTAAAATACGTCACTTACCCCTTATCATTCTATTGAAAAGCAGTTGGCTGATATTCTGGAACATGTAAGGAAACGTGTATGCATATACTGGCTTCGTGATACTTATCAATTTATCGGCTACATAGAAGAGATGAACATTACTGACAAATATATGCCATCTTTCGATATTGAATCACTTTTCACCAATGCCCCACTCACGGAAACTGTTTTTTATGTATAAATATGTAGATAATAAGCAGTTAAAGATTGGAATACTAATAGGGTATTCAAAAGAACTGCTGCAGAGGTGTACTCTTAATGTACACCATTTACAAACAAAAGGATGGGGTTGCAGTGGTATCTCCCTTGGGTCCATTACTAGAAGGCCACCCCCACCCCACCTTCTTTTAAGGGAAGTGAATCGAACTTATCTAGCAGAGGTCTACGAATGTCTGTAGCAACTTGGAAGTATTTCAAGGGAAAGATAAAAGTTCACCCACACGCGATCATATCAAGTTATTTACAGGATGGGAGGTGTCCATTAGCAGTAGCAGTAGCAGTAGTATTGTGGTGAGAGCTGTCTTGTCTGCTAGCCAAAATGGGTGGACAGCAATTTATGTCAATGTTTACGTCCCAAATCTTGGTCATGAGAAAAAACAAGAATAAAGCCTAACCTTGAGGAACTCAACAACCAATCACAACAGACTTAGCGTGGGCGGATACGATTAGCAGAAATATCATCGGACTGTTTAAGAAACGGCAACAAAGAGATGACAGAATAACCTTCAGCAGGAAAACAACCAATCAGAAGGCGCTGCTTCTCTGTTAACAATAATGAATAAAAATGTACATAGAAATTTATAAATATCTGTTGATTTTCTCAATAAACGATTTGTTGCCTGGCCCTTATCTTCTGTCATTACAGCAGTAGTAGTGTGGTGAGGGCTGGCTGCTAGCCAAAGTTGGTAGACAGTAATTGACGTCAATGTTTATGTCCCCAATACTGGTGGTGAGATAATGAGAACAAAGGCTTTGCGTAGGCGGATACAGTTAGCATATGGATGATCTGACACAGCCACAAAGAGATGCAAGGTTAACTTTCTGTGAGAAACAACCAATCAAAAGACTGTGTTTTTCTGCTAACAATAATCTACAATAATGTACATTAAAATCTATAAATATGTGTTAATTTTCTCTAATAAACGATCTGTTGACTGGCCCTTGTCTTCTGTCGTTACAGCAGTAGTAGTATTACCTCTAACCGGTTAGTAGAAATCATCATTTACGCGCACAAATGAATTGAATCAAAATGTTGTTTTTTCTTCAAACTGTTTTAAAGGTTTTCGCTTGCCTTGGATTTTCGTTTTTTTTTACTCGGTGATTATATCTTTCCGATGCAACAGAAATATACCTGCTTGTTTTCTTCTATCTATAATAGCCTGCTATTATGAAAAAAGTATGTATATATGTACACTACACATCTGAACTACTCACATGATAAGTAGATTAATAGACAGAGAGAGGTAGTTTGTAAACATTATAGATTAAAGTGTGTATCACTTTGATACCTTTTTTCTGTTGTATATATATGCAAGGTTCTTTTTTGTTGATGATGTTGATGCTGATCAATTATCACTCTATTGCCATTACTTACTTCTTTAATAAAAACACAGTCTTACTGTTTACTTCAAGTGTTGTATACATTTTAGATAGTGTTACAGATTTTCAAAGCTTTTACATTCTAATCAGGACTAGTAGTAGGAGTAGTAGTTAAGTCTTAAACCGAGATGGTTCATAACACACTATGTTCAGACCACCACATTGCTGCTGACGATATAAACGATGCCAGCTGACAATCTGCTATGGTTCTATAATTGACATTGCCAGTAGGTAGTTCCTGGAATACCTTTGGTGAAGTCTTTGGGCTTTAGGTGAAGTATGGTTGCGTAGCTGAAACTTAAAGTAATTGACAGAAGGGCACCATTAGCAGTGGAGCCTGTGATCTAATTCAACTCAACATGGGAAAACTCACTCTGCCCAGGAAACTGTTAGGATTAACAGATTGAAAGGTCTTTCTTGATTCGGTTGATGGTGATGCATGGTTGTTATGAGTTGGTGGAGTGTTTTGTTTGGTTAATTCTGTAAACGAACGAGACTTTAATCTACTAAATAGTTGATGAGTCTTCTGTACTCGTTCAGGGTACGGCTTCAATTTTTTCTTTATGCAGTAGTATGGTTGTGATCTGGCAGTTGCAATGCCAGTTTTTACTGCCTAAAGGGACAAGTACCCTATCAGATTTGATTCAACTTTACAAATAAGTTGAATGATGAACACATTAGGTGACATTTCAAGTATTACTCCTCCTGGTACACGTAACTGAAAGACGACACTCGTGTTAATGGATATGAAATGAAAACAAGTGATTCAGTTAAGCGACTCGTCAACTGTACTGCTCAGCAGTTCGCTCCGTCCTTCTCTATGGCTCTGAAACATGGCCAATACGAGTTGAAGACATGAAAAGGTTGTCTGTTTTTGATCATAGATGTCTACGATCTCTTCCTCACGTTGGGTGGCATAATAAAGTAAGTAATGTTGACGTTAGGCGTAGAGTGTTGGGAAAGGAGGGAAAATCAATCGATGAGGCTATAAAGCTACATAGATTGAGATGGCTAGGTCACGTGCTGCGCATGCCTAACCATCGCCTCCCTCGACGGTCATTGCTAGCTGATATAGGTGCAGGTTGGATAAGAGTAAGTGGTGGCCAAACGAAAACATGGCATCAATCAATCCATGAAATCCTTGACAGTTAAACTGAGTCAGTCAGGTAGGGAGGGAGTTGCAGACTTCCGGGTTGGGGCCCGCCCTCGGGACTCTAAGAATCAATGGCTGGAGACAATAGGCGACATGGCTCAAAATCGTTGTCAATGGCTTACGCAGATGTATTCAGTCTCTGTAATCTTTCATTTTCTTTCCTACCATTACTCATTCTGTTTCACTTTTATACTTGTCTAAATTCTATTGATTCTCTTCACTCATTTTCTTGTCTACCTTTGTGTGCTATTTGAAACGTGGCAACTCGAGCTGCTGCACTTCGGTGCCAAGTTCTATGTTGAATCCAGCCAGCAGCAGCACTCGTCAACGAATTTATTATATCATTATTATTATATATGATTTTTACGAAATAATGATGTGAATAGGGATGAAATAAGTTGTATAATTTGCAAAATATTTCGTGGAAGAAGGCTTAAATCTTCGAAAGCGGGTTTAGAATTTATAAGATTAATAGGGAACTAGAACATTACATACATAGCACACTAAAAAGTTTGGTAAAATAACATTTCAAAAAGGTTATATTGAATTAAATTTTAATTTGGGGGAGTGACAAGTGAGATAATACGAGAAATTGTTCAAAATTAAAGATAATAATACTATGGGTGGATATACAGATTGAATAAGCGAAACGAAAAAATTGAAGAGGGTCGAGGTAGTAACAGGGACTTGTATAATTTAACATAGACAGATTAGAATCATGGAAAAAGGAGTGGTTGAACTAATCATTTTTGTATATAAACAGCCCTGGGTGGTTTTTTTATTATTTCGATGGTCAAAGCTTCAGAGCAGTACATATGAGTTGGACACATAATGGCTTCGGCAGGTGTTATTTTTCGCCCTATAGATAACTTTAAAGAAAGAGACTGTTGGGGTAAGGTGACCAGTATCGACCATATTATTATTATTATTTGAAAAATATCACCGTTAATTATAGCTGTGTTGGTGTTTCAGGGGGAGAATGGCCGCCACCCTTTGCACGTGGTCCCGGCCGACGGAATGCTAAACTTTGTCTAACCGGTGGTAAATCCGACAAACAGGAGAGGTTGGGTGTGAGGTTAGCCGTCCCGCCCTGCGGTGAAAACAACAAAAATGCTACTGAAACTTCAAAGCCTAACGATTACAGCCGTATGAGAAAAACACAGTGTGATTATAAATTCCTAGGAAAGAGTCTCTTCACCGAACAACTTGTTTTCATTTCCTGAATGTCCTAATCGACAATTCTCTATGGATTACCTTCAACGTGCTGTACCCTAGTGGTCACGGCTTCCCACTCTAGAACCCCAGGTAACTGCCTGAATAGCTCTAGTCCCTGGTGGGCATCAGATTAATTTTAAGGGATTGGTTTTTTTGTAGGGATTTTGTTTGATTGGTTGGAGGATTTCATCGTTAGAGAACCGCTGGATAATTGTGACGAGTAAGGTTGTGAAGGTGAGGCAGTAACTCATCCCTCTCAATCAATTGATTGATATTTGTGTATTTAATCTTCATTGTGTTTTTTTTTAGATTTTTCTTTTGTTTTGTTCATCTGTCTATTGTTGTTCTTGTTTTGTATTTATTTCTAGGTCGTTTAGATAGTCATCGAAATAATTCAGATACTACTAATAATTCAGATAGTACAAATCCACTTGGACATGCATTATCTCCAGCTGATTTAATATATCGACTGGGATTACATCAACTCTTATCATTATCACCGGTTCCGTTAACTTCACGTGATTCACCAGTGTTTTCAGCTAATCATAGCCCTACACCAAATTTAATACCATCGAATTCAAATATTGGAAGTAATCAGAATAATACAGGGAATATTGGTGCTAGCAGTAGTATTAATGCTACTTCTACGACAACCACTATGACTATTGCTCAGCCTTCATTAGTCAGTCAGTCTTCGTGTATGGATATGCCGTCTGTTCAATGTGAATGTATGTCCTTCCGTTTTTATTATAATGATTGTTTCTTTTGTTGTTGTTGTTGTTAATTATAGAAGCTAAATATTTGCTTGTTTTTTGTTCATATCGATTGAAAAATAATTCAGGTGTTAGGGTAATTAGCAAAGCTGAGGTTAACATTGTGACCAGGAAGAGGGTATATTGATCATGTATTCACCCTTCGACAGACAGGTTCCGGAACATAGGTATACCCACCGGCGTCCAACAATCGTCATATTTCTTGACCTAAAGGCGGCATTCGATTCTGTCGACCGAGAAGTACTCTAGAGATGTTTGGCTGTAAAGGGAATGCCGAGAAAATACATTGCACACTACTCGAATTCATGTAGCCAGATGAGAGCTTATGGTGAGTTGTCATCTGAATTGGTGACAACTAGTGGTGTCCGTTAGGGATGCCCACTATCCCCATTTCTATTCAATTTCATCATAGATGTGCTAATGGAATTAACCCCAAGTTACTTCAGCTACTCAGGGATTGACTTGTTGCCGTCAGAGAATAATCTCGTTGACCCAAATGGGTGAAGACTCTGACAAAATGCAGAGTCTTCTGAACACCTTGAGCTGCAATCTGCGAATGTTTGGCATGCGATTCGCTCCCGCCAAATGTACGATGATGTTACAGGACTGGACTTCATTGACTCTTAGCTTATAAATAGAGTGAAGTGTTTGGTGGAGCTTGTGGACCACTTCATTTATTTGGGAAGTTGCATCAGCCAATGCCAACGGGTTGGTCGCTGACGAAACCTCAGAACGGATACAGAGGGCTAGTTTCGCATATGCCAGTTTACACCGTCTCTGGCGTAGATATGATATCCGGCTATTGACCAAAGGGCGGGTGTACTGCTCAGCGGTCCGCTCCATCCTCCTTTATGGCTGTGGCTGAGACATGGTCATTGAGAATGGAAGACATGAAAAGGCCGGCTAGCTATCCTTGATCGTAGATGCCTGTGTTCTATCTTTTGTGTAAAGTGGTATAATAGGGTGAGCAATATTGAGTTCAGGCGTCGAGTGTTGGGTAAGCGGAGAAAATCAATAGACGAGGCTGTGAAATTCCATCAACTGAGATGGTTAGGACATGTCTTACGTATGCCTAGCTACCGATCACCTTCCTCGACGGGCAATGTTAGCTGATATAGGGTCACGCTGGAAAAGATCTAGCGGCGGTCAAACCAAAACATGGCTTCATCAGTCAATGAAATCCACAACACTTAGTTTAAGCCAGTCACGTAGAAAGGTGTAGACTGCTGTCTGGTTGGGGTCCTCGGGATGGTAATAACCAATGAAGGCTGGAGACAATTGATGATATGGCTCAAAATTGTTCTCAATGGCTGTAGCAGATGCATCCACTCCTTGTGACTTATAATACCCAATAAACCTGTATGGTTCTTCGATATTACTATTCCTTTTGCCTCATATCTCTGTTTACTGTCCCTATTTTGTATTTCCTTTTACTTTCTTCTCTTGCTTAATGTATTAAGTAAAGTGTGGCGACTCGAACTGCTGCACATCGGTGCAAAGTTCTATGTTGAAACCAGTCAGTCATATCGCATATGACACTATGTTGTTCCATTAGAAGCAAGATTTAATCCTATACGACAATTTTCTTCATTTCTTTGAAGAATCGTTCAGTATTGCATTGAAAGTTGATTTAAAAAGTATACGCGAATTCGTGTGCCGATCCAAAGAGATAATTTTATGACTTAGAGCGGTAATATATGAGGAAGAGTTTATGGAATATATATATATATATATATATATATATATATACTGGATGGAAAAAGAGGATTGCTCAGTGATTTACACAAGCTGCCGCTGATATTTATCAAACAGGATATTATAATCTTGCATATTAAAAGTTCTCAGTTAGTCAACAGAGATTACACTTTTACAGGAGATAAATGAAGCAATAAATTTCTTTTTTTTTTATTACAGCTTGATTATTATTATTAACTCTATTAAAATATAAGCATGGTGCATTATGGGTGGGCACGGAAAGATGCGCCACTCAAAATTTCATATTTGATGAGAGGGCTGGGATATTGACAGGAAGTCTAGACCGATGAAGCTGGTTGTCTTGGGGGTCTGATTCACAAGGCAGTGGAGTAGCGTCTCCATGACTGCCAGTGATCAAAACAGGTTGACACGCCATTCTTTCCTTTGGGATTCTGGAGCCCGTTTACATCACACTGGTTTGGAATCAGGGTTTTCCAGCTCTCCTAGATAGGCTTGGATATTTACCAATCCGGTTGTAAGCGCCAGATATTCGAATTTACCTTTTCACTTTTTGTGGGGAACTTCCACCACATGAAGTCAGTGAACGGGACTTACATGGCATAGACTATGAATGCTTGGACATTTCAAGAAGAAGACTGGAGTCTGCTCATCTTTGGTCGTACCAGGTCGTTTATAGGAGCAAATAAATAAATAATTAGTTCATAACTCTGAGCAACAAATAAAGTATTGGCTATGCCCACATGTGCATGCCTTTTTTCGCTATTTGACTAGATTCTATGTTAGTATGCAATCCCATATCACATAGCGAAACATTATTATCTATTGGATAACTTTAGAGAAATCACTGAAAACCACAGGGCACTTGACAGCTTTTTAGTCCTATCTGGGCACCCCTTACCACTACGCGCCCACGACCCCACTAGGGATCGAACCTAGGATCTTCAGGTTAGGAGACCGAGCTCCTTGAGCATTCAGCCACTTCGGTCGAAATTCAGTAACCAGTGAATTGTAACTTTCAAGTCTGACCACAGATTGATATCAGTTAGAGGAACGTGAGGAGTGCTAGACTGTTATTTCATCCTAGTTTGGGAATCGTCGTCAATGCCCACCTGCCGGGGTTCTAATGCCCTCTAGTGACTGGCTACAGGAAAAAGTTTCCTGGAGTTTTAGTTAAAAATCGTGATCAATGGGGTACACCCGGTCTGGAGCGAGGATAAATACTCACCGATGACATTGGCTGGAGCCAGTAGCGCTTTAATCACGAATTGGTAGAAGTTAGAATTCATGGACCGGCCAATTGAGTCGGCTACCAGAGACTGAATGCTCTACGAGCTTGACTTGTGATCTCAAGGTCCTTGGCTTGAACTCAGGTGGGTGTGTACTGACAATGAGTCTCTCCATTAGTCATTGGCGGTTTCTAATGTTTTTCCAACTGGTGTATCAATCAATCAATTCATGATCAAACCTGAAAAAAAAAGAATCAATTCCCCAACAATCTACCTTTGTCAAATAAAGTTACCTATTTATCGATTCGATTTGATTCTACTTTTTTTTCGTGTAACAATTTATCTATCCCAATAAATTTCTACTGTACTTAAATTTGTATTTTTTTTAAAAATCTATTTGTAGCTGAATCTCAGAACTCACCAAATGTGCTTCCAAAATATGCTAAACGATCAAAGTATTCTTAAGTGCATAGAAGAAGAATAAATATCTGGACACATACATCTATATATACATAACCCCACACCTCCCTTTACACACACACATGCATAAGACAGACAATTCACAGAAACTTTCTCAAGATGACTAATATTCGTTTTATTATTATTATTATTATATTTTTTCATCACAGAGAACAAATTCACTGTAAAACATGAAAAGACTCACCCATTCTCTTTTTTACGGAAGAAATTTTCATTATTGTTATTATTATGCGCCATATATTACATCATAAAATGGGATCAGCTTTTGTTTTGCATATTGCCCTGCCCTAATATCTGTTACTATTTTCCTTATTCATATCTATTCCCCCCCCCCGCCCACTCTGTCTGTCTCTTACTCACTCATTCTCAGTTGTTACACCTGCTCAAAAGAATATCTTCATCACCATCAATATCATCGTTATCATTCTTATTATTATCCAGAATATAAACGAACCTACTCAACAACAAAAATCTCAGTACATTATTATTATTATTATTATAATCTGAGCATTTTCCCCTGTGTCCTCACCCACGCACACACAGACACACACGCACGCACGCATACATACATACATGTACCGACGAATATTTTACCTTTTTTCTTACTTCCATTATTATTTTGTCTGTTATGGATTAGTTAACCTTGGATTCCCATTTTTTTAAATTTAGAAAAAACCAACCACCTTCCTCCCCCCCGTTCCCGAGTAATACTCATATAATAATAATAATATTTCTATGAATTCTGTACAAAACTCTATAAGGTTTTCATCTTTTTTGCTGCTGTTGTCTAAACCGATGCAAACAGCTCATTATGAGTAAAAGTGATAGGTGTGGTTGGTTGGTAGGTTGATAGGTTTCTTAGGTAGGTAGGTAGGTGGTTAACACCTTGAACCTGGTGAAAATTTTTTTCAAGTTTATTTAATGCTAGATAAATTTCACTATTTTACTATCTACTTTTCTATCGATTTCTGTTTTTGTTTGCGTGTGTGTGTGTGTGTGCCTTTCATTTCTCGCTTATCTCTTCCTCCACTGTCCCATTTACGACCACCAACTTTAAGTTTTACCCTTTAGTGGTTTGTTATCGCATCATCAACAGTTAATTCTTGTTATTTGTGAGCTAATTTAATTTAACTCTAGTTAAATTGATCATGTTGCGTAGACAGCATTGAAGTTTGTTTATTCTAAAAGCAGTGATGAATACTGTTCAATCTCTGTCTCACTCTCACGTTCTCTTCTCGTGCGTGGGTGTCTTCCTTGCACCACCCCCCCCCCACCTTTTTCTTCATCTATCCTCTTCACACACACACGTTTATCTGCCTTTACTTGACTGACCACACACACACAAAAACTCAGATCCCCTGTGCCGTTTGTTACTGTTCTTTCTTTGGGTTGTTTTTTTGTGTCTTTTGTTTTGTTTTGATACTTGATAAGATTCTTTTTGTCATGATTTTAGACATTGATAATATAAATAATATATATTTTCTACTCTTTTATTTACCATTTACAAAATAGATTATTATTATTAATATTACTAATATCACGATTTTATTTTTTCAGCAGATGTCGTTTTACTCCATTTTTTTACTTCTTTAACTTTTTTCTCTCTTTCTTTTTTGATTTTATTTCAAACAAACAAATCAATCGCTTATCAGATTTTATACACAAACGTCATCATGATGAAGTGATCTTCTCTCTGGGGTTTTATTTTTCTTTTTTTTTTTCCTTTACTTTTTGTCAATTGACACTAACTGGTTGGTGTTCTCCTCTTTTCTCGTCTTTTTCTGTCTCCATCGTCTCTTGTTCATTTTTTTTTGTATGTAACTTGATGATAAAACGTTGTATGTGTACAAGAGATGAATAGAAAAACCAACACATGGACCAAATTGAATGGGTGTTTTTTTTGTGTACTTTCTTTCATATATCAGAGCTTGTGTGATGATGAGAACGATGATGATTGTGATTTCTGTGAATAATGGGGATGATGATGACGTTCTGCATAGATTGGAAGTGATTGTTTATCTTCAGTGCATTGGATGTTTTAAGTTGTAGTAGTAGTAATAGTAGTGTAACGACAGAAGCAGGGGTTCAGACAACAGATCATTTATTGAGAAAATCAACAGGTGTTTATAGATTTTTAATGTGCATTATTATTAGCGTAATTGTTAACGGAGAAGCAACCTCTTCTGATTTGTTGTTTTCTTGCTAAAGGTTATTCTGTTACCTCTTTGTGGCCGTTTCTTAGAAAGTTAAGCCATATATCTGCTAATCGTATTTGCGCACGTTAAGTCTGCTGTGATTGGTTGTTGAGTTCCTCGAGGTTAAGCTTTGTTATTGTTCTCTCTCATGACCCTGATTCGGGATGTAAACATAGACGTCAATAAGAATTTAATTCGGTTCAATCAATCGACAGGAAAATCTCAAATTAAATTAATATGACCTGTCGCACAGGAGGTGGCTCTCGTGGCCCAAGAGGTCTAGTGGATAACGCTTTGGCGTTCGAAACTAAGGGCATTGGGTTCGAGCCTCGGTGGGAACATCATCACTTACTCATTGGGGAATGCAGGTGCATCCAGTTAATGAGTCCCAAATAGGACGAAATCCGCGTCCTGGATTCCACTGCTAGTCACCATCCACCAATTAAATTCTAATTAAATGCCCAGATATCGTCGAAGCATCTGCACAAGAAGCCGACATGTCAACCTGAGACCGAGCACTTCGGTCCAATCAATCGACGGGAAAATCTCAAATTCAATTAAATTGACGTCAATTGTCGTCCACAATTTTGTCTTGCAGACAGCTCTCATCACAGTAGTATTATTATTCCTTTGGGTTCCAAGTGGAAAACAAAAAGCTTCAGGAGGACATCTTCATTTCACCCTGTTCTCTCCAGTCTTTTCTAGAGATGGCTCCACGATTTCCCATAAGTTTTCATTTCCTGACCCACGCACAACTTGCTGTTTCCCATCTGGGTTCTACTCGAGGGCTTGACTAGCGCATTATATCACTCAACTGTATCCTCGGTGTTTTTTTTAGTCTGTACCCATTTTCCTGTGCATAAGTGTTGAGTGATAGGCTCTTAGTTGGTTGGTTGGATACACTGAAGAGTCGTCTTTTTGCTTATCCTTCTGGTCAGCCATCTGATCTTCAATATTTTCAGCTAGTGGAGGCAGCTATTTATGTTAGTCTGATGCCTGTTGGAAGTGCTTTCGATGATGTGTGTCTCTGATATTAGTGTTTTTCTTACTTTTCCGATTCTGATTGGCTTTGGTACCCTAATCTGTGTCTCCGCTTTTGTTTCAAACGATACTGCCTAGACAAATGAAAAAGGTGATTTCCTTCAGATTTATTCTGTGGGGAGTGATTGGCTGATTGATTGTTCTTGTTAGTTACGTATCTTCATCTTCTCTGCTTCTTCTTCCGGCTTATCAGTTTCTTGTTGTAGATCTTCGAGTTTATGTGATAGTAGACATAAATCGTCCGTGAAGTTCGGTCTAATGTATTCCTGTCTCCTCGTCCCCCACTGTCTGTTGCATTGTCCAGTCAGTCCACCACAATTAAGAGTATCATCTGTGATAGTCGACAGTTTCGCCTTACTCCTCTCTTCACTTCTAATGTTTCGCCTAGCTTTCCTATGTGAATCACTGGACACTTGGCATCCGTATATTGCGCTGTTGAATGAGATTCATAAAGATTTATATCGCACCTTGTAGTAGTGAGTTACAATTTAGCGATCAGATTGTACGCCTTTCTTTCTGACTGTGATTAATTCGTTGTTATACTCCACAAGATCATTATGAATAAAAGTATAATAATACTTGTGGGAAGTAGTGAAGAAAATAAGTTGCATCAACTAGTCACTGGGGTGTAGTCAATTTCATGTTACCTAACCCTGAGTACAGCTTTGGCTAGCAAGCTAAGACGACTCTCCATTGCATTGCACTTTAATTTTGAAGTAGATCGATCGAATTTAATGTCATTTAATAAGTGGTGGAATCTAGGTTTTGCCGTTCGTTTCGCTTGGGTACAAACCAGTCGAATGTGTTTGCAGTTCATTAAGTGATTGTATTTCCAGTACTACTTATTACCTCAAACTTGAAAGCATTATCTAAAAGAATTCGGAACTATGAAAGCCATCTCTTGTATAAGAAGTTTTATTTGCTTATGAAAACTTACTGATTCTCCGTTGTTGTTCATCTTAATTTAGAAATTTGACACGAACAGACTGTCGCTTTTCACCCGACACAAACTCACGTAGCCGTGTAAGGGCTTATGGGGAATTGTCATCGGAATTGATAACAACCAGTGATGTCCGTCAAGGATGTCCACTTTCCCCATATCTGTTTAAATTCATCATAGATATGCTGATGGAAGTATCCTTAACTGAACTTAACGACTGAGGAATCGACTTGTCACCAGGGAATAATCTTATGGACTTAGAAAATGCAGATGACATAGTCCTGTTAGGGGAGAATGCTGATAAAATGCAGAGTCTTCTGAACACCTTGAACAGCAATCTCCGTATGTTTGGCATGCGATTCGCCCCTGTAAAATGTAAGATGCTGCTACAGGACTGGACTACGTCAACTCCTAGCTTAGTGATAGGGAGTGAAGTGATAGAACATGTTGACCACTTCACCTATTTGGGAAGTTGTATCAGCGCCAACGGACTGATTGGCGACGAAATCTCAGCACGGATCCAAAAAGCTCGAGCTGCTTTCGCTAACTTACACCATCTCTGGCGTAGACGTGATATCCGGCTGACTGTCGACCAAATGATGTGTGTACTGCTCAACAGTTCGCTCCGTCCTTTTCTATGGCTCTGAAACATGGCCAATACGAGTTGAAGACAGGAAAAGGTTGTCTGTTTTCGATCATAGATGTCTACGATCTCTTTCTCGCGTTAGGTGGTATAATAAGATAAGTAATGTTGACGTTAGGCGTAGAGTGTTGGGCAAAGAGGGAAAATCAGTTGAAGAGGCTATGAAGTTACATAGATTGAGATGGTTAGGCCACGTGCTGCGCATGCCTAACCATCGTCTCCCCCGACGGGCATTACTAGCTGATATAGGTGCAGGTTGGAAAAGAGTAAGTGGTGGCCAAACAAAAACATGGCCTCATCAATCCATGAAATCCTTGACAGTTAAACTGAATCAGTCAGGTAGGGAGATGCAGACTTCCAGGTTGGGGCCCGCCCTCGGGACTCTAAGAATCAATGGCTGGAGACAATAGGTGACATGGCTCAGAATCGTTGTCAATGGCTTACGCAGATGTATTCAGTCTCTGTAATCTTTCATATTCCTTTCTACCATTACCCATTCTGTTTCACTCTTATACTTGTCGAAACTCTATTGATTCTCTTCACTCATCTTGTTGTCTACCTTTGTGTGCTATTTGGAACGTGGCAACTGGAACTGGTGCACTTCGGTGCCAAGTTCTATGTTGAATCCAGACAGACATACAGACACTTCTGTTTAATAGGTAACTGGATAGTGTTTTGGCTTCAATTTGTCGTCTATGTTAGCTTAAATATCATTCAGTGAATAGCTTCGTATTCCTGCGTACCTTATCGAATAAATATATATCTGATAAAAGAACGTACGTTGATATAGTTGGTTTGTAAGGATTAGTTTTGTTTTTATGAGTTGATCACGGATTGATATCAGCAAGAGAACCATTGAAAATAAAGGATTACTGGACAGCATTGTAACCGGAAAGACCTGGGTTCGAAACCCAGTTGGTGCGTACTGCTGATGATTCCCAAACTAGGATGAGTTAGCTGTCCAATACTCCAGTGCTGGTTTTCAATAGTCCTCTAATTGATATCAATCCGTGATCAAGTCGTTAAAATACAACGTACATTTTATTCAGCTAGTCATTCAATTCCCCTAGCTAGTAAAAGTACCAGTGACTTTATGCATCAAATCATGGCTATTATTGATTGTCTTTGTTCGAGTTCTCCATAACACTATCAAAATCTGCTGTCAGCATCTGGTTCCACCCATATAGACCGGGTTTACTACCCAAGACCCAAGATATAATGCGTTAATTTCTTTATAATAGTCTAATAGGGCTAAGGAATTTCACATTCGATATTAATTATGAACTATAAGTTATTTTGGTAATGTTGTCCAGTAGACAGTACTGTTTCACTGATGAACAAACAACCTAATGTGGAGTCACACACCACCACAAAGCCTAAGTTTAACATGCAATTAGGATTCTGTCATTCATTCTCTGTATGTAATGACTCAGTAGAGGTGAAAAGTAATTTATGGTGTTTCTTAGTGTACTTTTGGATAGAATAATTTAGTCACAGGTTAAACCACAAGCTGACATCAGTTAGAGGCTGTTTCATCCTAGTTTGTGTTTCTTCGTCAGAACGCACCCATTAGGGTTTGAATCCAGGACCTCCTGGTTACAAATCGAGCTCACAGACCATTCAGCTTCTGGGACCCGATCCAATGGCCCATAAATTCTAGCTTCTGCCAATTCGCAGTATATATAGTGCAACCTTCAGACAGTGTCATAGGTGAGCAACTGTTCTCTTACTTGACTTGGTGAACCCTACTGGTTGTGACTTCTAACTAGAACCACAGGTAACTTCCGGCATAGAGGAAGAGGGCATCAGATTAATTTTCAAGTGTTGATTTGCAGGGATCTGATTGGTTACAGGTTTGATATAAGGCGCTAGTGTAGCAACAGAAGACAAGGGCCAGGCAACAGATCATTTATTTAGGAAATCAACAGATATTTATAGTTTTCCATGTACATTATTATAGATTATTGTAAGCAAACAAACACAGTCTTCTGATTGATGGTTACTCGCTGAACGTTAATCTTTCATCTCTTTGTGCCCGTTTCTTGAAGTTCAGATTATCTAT